TAAATATCAATGGTGCAAGCTAGACGCGAGTTGTATGCAAGCTAGGCACGAGTTGGCGACAACTTGCAAGGCAAGTTGTAATACCATCCACTTGAAGATAACTAAGGATGAGTTGGCGACAACCAAGCACGAGGTGGCGACAACCAAGCGCAAGTTGTAAAGTGGAAGGTTAAGGAGGTTTAAGTTTTCTATAAATAGAGAGGTAGTCTCATTTGTAAATGGGATGTAGTAGAGGTTAGAGAATGGAGAGAATGTAGAGTGAGTGAGTTTATTCTTTCAAGAGAGATTGTAAAGTTTTTCCTTTCATTTATATAAAAAAAGTTTCCCCAATCCTTACTTGTTTTCCATATATTACTTACTTCAAAATTCTCTTCTCAACGTGGGTATAATTTAGCCTCATTGGTTAAATTATTTGTGGGCGTAGAAAGGCTGACTTAACGTTTTCTCGTGAGGTGCGGGAATTGTAGAGCGTTAAGGCCGCACGGCTCTAGTTTGTTCGGGTGTAACGAAACTAGGCCCGTGACAAGTAGCTATCATTCAAGTCTTTCTAAGAAAATATTGACTGTACTTTGTTGAGGAAGGTGAATACCAGAAGCATTGCATGTAACCTCAATGCCAAAAAAAAAAAACGAAGCTCACCTATATCTTTGTGAGCAAACCTGTGATGAAGATCTAAAATAATCATAGAGATCAATTCAAAAAAGTTACCGTGATCGCCATATCATCCACATAAATGAGCAAGGCGACCATAGAATACTTGGATTCATCTATTTACAAAGAAGAACCAGATTTTGAGCTTGTGAATTCCCAAAGAGGCGGCCTAGAAGCGGGCTTATTGAACAAAGTTTAGGGCGATTGTTGAAGGCTATAAAGCTTATTTTTTGTCCAAACCTTAGGGTGCTAGTCCAAGTTATTAATATGGTCTGCCCACTAGTGCATTTGTCATCCTTCCACACTGGAACAATCAATGTAAGAAAGTAAGAAAGTATTTGTAAATTTCGTGAAACAAATATATTGCGTGTCTAAATATATCTATCATTAAGTCTATTGTATATATGACATTTGATTTAAAATCTCGATCAAGAAGCTCTAATCAAAATTAATTATTTTGATGATTATTTAATATCAAGTTGATTGTTAAAATTCTCATTTTTACGTGTCTAAATATCTTTATTATTGAGTCTACTGTACGTACTTAACATGTTATAAATATGCATATATACATATATAATACATGTTTGATTTATATATGACTTGTACGTTTTAAAATCTCAATCAACAAGCTATAATCAAATTTAATTATTTTGATGATTATTTATTATCAAGTTGATTGTTTAAGTTATTATTTTGTATGTACATGTCAAATCAACGAGTAATAACTATCTTGCAATTTATCAATTGTGTCCTTGCCGGCTATAGATAAATATTTTTAAATATTAAACGATTTGATAAAAATTTAAGTTAAAATTAAAAATTAATTTTAACCCTATATTTTTATGGAATTCATAATTTTTATCAACCACACATTTCATCAAGTTTTTCACTAAAAATTTCATTTAAATAATATGCTTAATTCCCTTTTAATAGATTTTAAAATTTAAAGTTTTATCAAATTCAAAATCAAGAATTAATTTTAGATACACATTTGATGGGATTCGCAATTTTTTTAATGAACTTTTATTAAAATTTATTAAAAATCAAAATTTGAAAATTTGATTTTAATCTCTAGATAAAATAGTAAAATACAGATAGACATGATACAATTTTAATCCAACTATTCTATAAGTACAGTAATTTTCACACTTTTTTTTTCATAGCACACATACATGCAAGTGGGTGGAGTTGTGAGTGAAAGTAAAAATTGCTGTGAAAAAAAAAAAAAAGCAAACAGCATTTTTGATTTTGATCTCTTTATCCTGTCATTCACAGTCCCAACGCCTCTCTGTCAACCATCACTCTCCACTTTCTCATCAGAATTGTAATCGTTCACCATGTCTCGTAAGCGCTCCTGCTCCATGCAAATTCTGATAGTAGTCTTCATTTTTTGCTCACTCTCCATAGGATTTGCAGCGAACTCCACAGACATACTCTACGAGATTTATCCTTTCATACGTGTGTACAAAAACGGCACAATTCACAGATTCATAGGAACCCAAAGACTTCCAGCATCATTTGATCCAACAACTTGTGTCAAATCCAAAGATATTCAGATTTCGCCAAAGTTCAGTATACCAGCTAGGGTTTACCTTCCTAAAAACACTGACCACGAACTCCCTCTACTTGTTTATTTCCACGGAGGCGGTTTTTTCACCGAATCTGCTTTTTCGCCGACATACCACAAGCATTTGAATTCACTTGTTGCAAAAGCAAATGTTATTGCAGTCTCAGTTGAATACAGACTGGCTCCTGAATACCCACTCCCAATTGCTTATGAAGATTCATGGCTTGCACTGAATTGGGTTGCTTCTCACTTTAAAGGTAATCGCCATGAAGTATGGCTTAATAATTATGCTGATTTTGACAGAGTCTATTTAGGCGGAGATAGTGTCGGAGCCAATATTGTACACAACATGGCTATGCGGATCGGGTTGGAAAGTCCAGAATACCCCATCAAACTTAGTGGGATTTTTCTGAATTGCCCATATTTCACAGGGAAGAACCCAATCGGGAATGAAAATGGTAACACTTATGGGAGAAGTGCTGTTGCAAATATTTGGCTTCACGCTTATCCGAATAGTACGGGTTTGGATGATCCGTTGGTGAACCCTGGTATGGATTCGAAACTTTCGAAATTAGGGTGCAAAAGGGTTTTGATTTTTGTGGCTGGGAAAGATTTTTTGAGAGACAGAGGTTTGTTTTACAAGGAGGCACTTTCCAAGAGTGGATGGAGTGGTAATGCAAATGTTGTGGATAACAAGGGGGAAGATCATGTCTTCAATTTGGTACACCCCACAACCCCAAAGGCAATTCATATGCTCAAAACATTGGCCTCTTTTCTCAATCATACCAAATTTTGAAGATGTAGTATCTACTTTGTTATATGGAATAAACTTGAGTTCAATTTTCCTTTTAACATTTGAAATTGGGATATATCATACTTGTTTCTATTTTTGAATATTCGATAGGCCATGTCGAAAGTAGTGTTTAAGTTTGTAAATCATCAATTCATTATGATCTCTGTAACACAATCATCTTCTGTCTATAACGTTTAATAAGAATGGTATCAAACCCAAACGAACTGTTAACTGTAGTTGCTCATAGATTACCTAGCAAGCTCACCAATAATTAGGTTAATACACTTCACTCAATTGATCAACGACTAATAATCATAAACAAGGCTAATAGTCTTACATCAGTTTATAACAGTCAATAATTTATTGCAATAGTGTTCTCGTAGTTAAACTGATACATTTATGTCAATTGATTATCGAACTCAGATAATGGTAAGTTCATTCTTAATGGAGCTAGTCTTAATCTCACGAACGGAAAACTTTGTATGCAGTAGAAATGAAAATGGGTAAATTTGAATATGTATTTTATTGCAAGTAATTGTAAGTTGTAACTTGAATCAAAGCCCAAATACGTACAGCCACAAGCTGGCAGGCTAGGCCTGTGGGCTTTGTTGTTGGGCTCCAACCTGACATTCTATCATTTCGCAATAATGAAATAATAACATGAATCATGGTTGTTGTACTTATGTCTAAATCATTTACGATGCAAACAAAATACATAGAACAATATTAAACATAACAAAGAAAGCTATGAATTGAAACACACTACTTTGCATCAATGAAATACTTATTGAAATCTTGAGTTGATAAACTCTTCTAGTCTCCCTGATCATCGAGGGATGAGGGTGAAGGCTCGCACAATGAGCCCCATTTTTTTTTTTTTTTTATCAAGGAAGTCCCTCTTCCCGTCATCCACACTGCGAATGCGGCCCTGAATAGATTTCATCGCTCTTCCTAAGACCTCTTGATCAATAGCGGACGGATGCTCCTATTTACAATAGATTAAACAAATAGTTAATTAAAGTTTAATTGAAAATTTAGTTGGAAAATAACATTTTTAATAAATTTTATTAATGTTTCACAAAAAGAAACTTTTAGTAAAAACATAACTTTTATTAAAATTGTTAAGAGAATGAAAAGCCAAAAAATAAAAATAAATGGACGAGAAGCTTGCAAAATGGCTTAATGCTCCGCCACAATAAAATTAGACCGTTATTCTAATTTTTCAACAACGAATTTTGGAACCGCAAACAATTTAACTTGTCCCCCAATCCACCCCCACACACCGCACCTTGATATTTATTCATTTTTTCCCTCTCCCTGATAAACCCCAGACTCTCCCAAATTATCTTCTTCACCTTTCAACAGCCGCCAATGGAGAGAGCGGTGCTACTACGCTCCATCTCCTCCTCTTCTTCTCCGTCCTCTCCACTCGCCTCCTCTGGAATATTTTCCCGCTCCGTTCGCAGACTCTGTCGCCTCGCTTCTACCACCCCAAAACGACACCGTCTTATCCCGAATGTACACAGCCGCTCTCTTCTTCGCAATCATTTCCGCTTCATCTCCACCTCGGCCCGTCCTTCGCATCAGTTGAAAAGACACTTTTGTCTATCAGTCCAAGCCGCCGCCACATCTTCTATCCAATCAGCTCCAGGTACCTTAACATCTTTTACGATCAAGATACTGTGATTAATTATTTAATTGTACATGATTTTGCATTTAATTCTTTTAGAGGTTTTGGTGGCGGATAATGACTTGGCGGAGAAGCTCGGATTCCAGAAAGTATCCGAGGAATTCGTGGAAGAGTGTAAATCCAGAGCTGTTTTGTATAAGCATAAAAAGACTGGAGCTGAGGTCATGTCCGTGTCGAATGACGATGAGAATAAAGTCTTTGGAATTGTTTTCCGAACTCCTCCGTGAGTACATATATATACCTTTTGAATATATTAACGTGTACACGCCATTGCTTGTATATATGCATGTGCATTGTTAAATTGCTCTTGTAATTCATCGTGCACCTCGTAATTTAGAAAAATTAAAAATTAATCAAGTCAGTTTTGGTATCATTGGTTTGTGGAAATCAAATAGAATAGAATACATTATGTAATTCTGAATTAAAAGGGATCTTCCAGGTCACTGATGATCTATGTAAATGGTGTAATAGATTTGGATATAAACTATGTACAGGAAATTTGATTGTTTTTCTGGACTGGTAGTCTGTGAATTTTTAAAAGTAATCTGTGCTCCCCGGCTACGCATATGCAGTATGCTACACTTGAAGGATTTTCTAATTAGCTTAGTTTACATCGGACAGTTGTTTTCTTATTCATTATTTGGTTTCTGTTTGACCATTTTCCTGCTTAAAGTAAAGTGAAAGGGAAAATAATTTCCTTGTAGTAGTGGTAGATGCTGCTGCATGGTGCAGTGACATAGGTGTCATGGAATCGTGTTTTTCTGGGATTGGTCTTGTATATATGCATGTGCATTGTTAAATTGCTCTTGTAATTCATCGTGCACCTCGTAATTTAGAAAAATTAAAAATTAATCAAGTCAGTTTTGGTATCATTGGTTTGTGGAAATCAAATAGAATAGAATACATTATGTAATTCTGAATTAAAAGGGATCTTCCAGGTCACTGATGATCTATGTAAATGGTGTAATAGATTTGGATATAAACTATGTACAGGAAATTTGATTGTTTTTCTGGACTGGTAGTCTGTGAATTTTTAAAAGTAATCTGTGCTCCCTGGCTACGCATATGCAGTATGCTACACTTGAAGGATTTTCTAATTAGCTTAGTTTACATCGGACAGTTGTTTTCTTATTCATTATTTGGTTTCTGTTTGACCATTTTCCTGCTTAAAGTAAAGTGAAAGGGAAAATAATTTCCTTGTAGTAGTGGTAGATGCTGCTGCATGGTGCAGTGACATAGGTGTCATGGAATCGTGTTTTTCTGGGAGCGGCCATCTAGATCTTTTTAACTTCCCCCTCCTCCTTTTACGATGAGTGGCTAGAGCAATTTGTTATGCTGCAAGTAGCTTTTGTGAGCAAAGATTTAGCTAGTTTAGCTGTCCTTCTTAAATATTTCTATTATTTTCTTCTATCTTTTTCTATCTAAGTCTGATAAACTGGCCTAATTATTGTTAATGCAGAAAAGATTCAACTGGAATCCCTCATATTTTAGAGCACAGTGTATTGTGTGGTTCAAGAAAGTATCCTCTGAAAGAACCCTTTGTTGAATTGTTGAAAGGGAGCTTGCATACATTTCTGAACGCATTTACATATCCTGATAGGACATGCTATCCTGTTGCTTCCACAAATACAAAGGTTGTATAATATAGTTAAATTTTTTCTAGATCTCACCTGAACCAATATATTAATGGTGTTGTCAAACAGGATTTCTATAACTTGGTCGATGTATATTTAGATGCTGTCTTCTTTCCAAGATGTGTGGAAGACGTTAAGACCTTTCAACAGGAAGGCTGGCATTACGAACTGAATGATCCCTCAGAAGACATAACTTACAAAGGTTGCATCTAATCCTTTTTTTTTTTCACCCGTAGTTTTTGTTTCCGATGACATTTTATTTTCTCTTTATAATGTTGCCCCTCATTGCTTTGTTTAATAATAAAAAAAATTCATTTATCAAGAAGCAACTGTTCAGCTTGTTGACATTGCAAAGAATTATATCTGTGGCCAACTGCAGGTGTTGTTTTCAACGAGATGAAAGGTGTTTATTCTCAACCTGACAGCATACTTGGCCGAGCATCTCAACAGGTTTGTTTTCTTATTTGTTAACCGGTTTAATATTGAATTTTGGCGACTGTATGACCTGATGACTCAGATAGTGCATTACAAAATGTGATTAATGATATTTTCCTTTTCACAAGCTACCCTTGCACTTTCATGCCATATAAGAGTAACCAACGACAATCTTGCTAAATATTATAATACTTCTTTGCAGGCTCTTTTTCCAGATAATACTTACGGCGTTGACAGTGGTGGTGATCCACAAGTCATTCCCAAACTTAGTTTTGGGGAATTTAAGGTTGATTGCATTTTTTAAAGCTAGTTCTGTTTCAAGCGTAAGAGCGTTTCTATTTCAATGTATTGTTTGTAGAGACTTAACTAATGAATTGGTTTGTCGTAAGTTAGATGAAATGTTTGACACAAACAAATCAACTGATGCTCATTACTTCCTCTGTATACTTTTATTTGATATTAACAGTGTTTATATGTGTATGCACAAACACACACACAAAACATGAATGTCATGCCTCCACCAAACGTTTTCTTCAATCACTAGAATGGATATAAATACTCAGGCAGGTTCTCTAAAATAATTTAAAAAGCCATGATACCTAGAGTTAACATTGGATAAGGGGATTCTAACCAATACTCTTTAGCTGAGCCTATCCAATGAAGCATATACATGTTGGGTTGTATGTTTAAGGAACATATTTTTTTCTTTCTTACTTCTCTGCAGGAGTTTCATAGTAAGTATTATCATCCCAGCAATGCAAGGATATGGTTTTATGGAGACGATGACCCAAATGAGCGTTTACGCATCTTAAGTGGTATTCTTCTATTCATCTTTTAATTGATAGTAGTATTTTAGCTATTCAGATTCACATAAAAGTGTAAGCTTTAAGCAAAAGAATTCAAGATATCTGCCTGTAATTACTCTCCTCAAAATATTAAGCTCTAAATATACTGATTGTATGATATTTATAAAATACCCTTACGTGTTTGCATATATGTTCTTGAGAACATGGAACTTCATCTGATAATTGAATCTGAATGTTGAATGCTTACATCAAAATATTATGCACTTGTTCCTAGGACGGAATTCCGTTCCTTTTACGTTTTTGCCATTGATGTGTTCATTTTGGAAGGCTGCAGCGTGATTTGGGAACAGTTGTTCCTGACATTTATTTCATGCTTTCCACACAGAATACCTAAACAAGTTTGAAGCAAATTCAGCTCCTGAGGAATCAAGAATTGAATCACAGAAACTTTTCAAAGAACCAGTCAGGATACTTGAGAAATACCCCGCTGCAGATGGTGGTGACTTGAAAAAGAAGCATATGATATGCCTTAATTGGCTGCTCTCTGAAACCCCACTAGACTTGGAAACTGAACTAGCCTTGGGTTTTCTGGATCATCTAATGTTGGGAACTCCTGCTTCTCCTTTGAGAAAAATCCTGCTGGAGAGTGGTCTAGGAGATGCTATAGTCGGTGGTGGGGTTGAAGATGAGCTTCTTCAGCCTCAGTTTAGTATTGGATTGAAGGGTGTCTCGGAATATGACATTCAAAAGGTAGAAGAATTAATCATGAATACTTTGAAAAAGCTGGCAGATGAGGGTTTCGATTCCGATGCTGTGGAAGCATCGATGAACACAATTGAGTTCTCTCTTAGAGAAAACAATACTGGCTCATTTCCTCGTGGCTTAGCTCTGATGCTTCGTTCCATGGTAAAGTAGTTCTTAATTACTGTTCACTTCATAACCAAACATGGTTTTCCCATACCCCTTTTTTTCTTTCATCTTCAAGTCTGGCTTATTTTTTTAATTTTGAATTGTATCTGGTAGGGGAAATGGATATATGATAAGGACCCATTTGAGCCATTGAAATACCAGAAACCTTTGAAGGACTTAAAAGCTAGAATAGCCAAGGAAGGGTCCAAAGCCGTCTTTGCACCTCTAATAGAAAAATTCATCTTGAGTAACCCACACCGTGTAACTGTTGAAATGCAGGTATTTTCTAAAGTTTCACCTTTTAATTTTCAGATTAGGTATCACATGACAATTTCTATGCTAATGGTGTTATATTTACAGCCTGATCCAGAGAAGGCTTCTCATAATGAAGCTACTGAGAAAGAAATTTTGGATGGGATTAAGGCAAGCATGACTCAGGAAGACCTTGCTGAACTGGCACGTGCAACACACGAGCTTAGGTTGAAACAGGAGACTCCTGATCCACCCGAAGCTCTTAAATGTGTACCAAGTCTTTCTTTGCAAGATATTCCCAAAAAACCCATACATGTACCTACTGAGGTGATGAGATTTGTTTAAATCTTGCTGTGAGAATGTTACGTATGTCTGTCTGAGTTGAAAGTCATAGAGCTTTGCAATTGTAGGTTGGGAATATCAATGGGGTAAAGGTCTTGCAGCATGACCTATTCACAAATGATGTTCTTTATGCTGAAGTTGTTTTCAACATGAGTTCTTTGAAACAAGAGCTTCTTCCTTTAGTACCACTATTCTGGTGAGATAGCAACAGTACTTGTCTTTTTTGATGTATTAAAATAACTTTTAGCTTCCTGAATCAAATGCCCCTGAGAATCCGCCTTTTTCCTTTCTAGGATCGTTATAGGCTAATACTCCCAAGGAAACATTACTCTATACTAAACAATATTGGTCATGACCATAACCACTGTGTGTCAGTCTCTCCTCTCCCAAGAGCAACTTGGTTAAGGATGAAGTTAATAGTTTCATGTTGATTCTAAAATTCTCTGCTGATCGAATATTAAATTTAATGTGCCATGCACGTTTGTCAACAGCCAATCGCTGCTGGAGATGGGTACGAAGGACTTGGAATTTGTACAATTGAACCAGTTAATTGGAAGAAAAACTGGTGGGATATCAGTGTATCCTTTCACATCATCTATTCGGGGGAAGGAGGAGCCATCCAGCCATATCATTGTTCGAGGCAAAGCTATGTCTGAACGTGCTGAAGATTTGTTTAACCTGGTAAGTTACCGTTTCTCATGTACCATAACAGTAAATCAGCAAGAATAGAAAATCTTCAGTTTGTTATGATACTAAAACAATTTGCACCAAAGTCAAAATAGTGCAAACTTCATTCTAGCATGACCATTCAGCTATTTCTGGTTACTTTCAAAATTGATCTGCTACTGTCCATTTTGTTCTTCCTTTTAAATCCTTGCTAATTAAGATACCTAACAGTCTCCTTACTCCTGTAGGTTTCTTGACGGATGAGTCTCTTTGTAGACTTTGATTTGTATCATATGTAACAGTGTAACTAAAAAAGAAAATACTACACTGATGTCAAAAATCTTACTGCACTTCTTGTTCTTATTCGATGATGTGTGTGTTTGTTGTCTGTTGATTGTTACTTGGTTATTGTTGAGGAAGTATCATCATCTGACTGAGTTGTAAATGTAACTGGATTTAGTACTCTGATGTCACCTAGTGTAAATCTTTTTGCTTTATATTATGAACGTTCTTGTATTAATTCGCAGACAGATTCCTGTGCTTACTGGATTCTTGTTATTGTATTAGTGCATGTGCCATGTCCTCTAGTGCAATGTTTTTAAGTATTTTCGAGAAATTTTCATATAACTGATGCCGCTCAGTCTTCATCGTGAGAGTATTTTATCTTTAATATACGTTAAATAACTGATTTTGAGTCCATCCATATGTCTAGATCTTTTACCTTATCTCGTGCTTGTTCTGTCTGGTTTATTTTCTTTGTTAATAGAAACAAATTCTTTTAGTTTGAAGCGAAAGCAGGCTTTGATAATTAAGTTATATTCTTCTTTTTCTTATTCAAGTTTCTGGCAAACTTTTGAAGAGTATATTGACTGATGAGATATTCGAAATGGTCTACTGTAGGTCAATAAAGTTCTTCAAGATGTTCAACTAACAGACCAAAAGCGTTTTAAGCAGTTTGTTTCTCAAAGCAAAGCTAGAATGGAGGTACCAGTTGTACTATTGTGGAAATGAAGTAATTGCTATAAATTTATAATATTATGGCTGTTCAATTTCAGAACCGACTAAGAGGCAGTGGACATGGCATTGCAGCTGCAAGGATGGATGCAAAACTCAATGTTGCTGGTTGGGTCTCTGAAAAAATGGGTGGTGTAAGGTTGAACTATTTGTGTTTTCTTTAGTGGGTTGACTACCATTTTGGTGTTGATCAAACCAGCACTTTAGTTTGAAATCTCTTACCTTCCAAATATCTTTTTGGTAGTAGGAAAGCATTATTTACATTACAAAATATGAGTAGTTTTCATGACTGGTTATATAACTAACTTTGTTCTTATCTGTTTATTAAATTCTAGAAACTTCTTTCACAATTTTTAATTACGTAATAGAATCTCCAATAGACTATTTATCAAGAGCATCTATGTATTATAGAAAGCATCTTTAAATCTAAATAGTCAAATGCACTCCAACAGTACTCTCTATTTGGACTCTTCGTTTTGCTTTTCTTTAGAAACATTTATTGATTTATCCTTATATTTTATTTAACATAATTTTTTATATGTCAATTGCCAATCAATTTGAATATGGTTTGAATAGTTTAAGAAGTAGAATATTGAAATCCTTGACTTATTAAGTGTAGTCATTATTCATTAAGAATAGAGAGTAAGATTGGCTCTCTAAATTTGGAGAGCCAAATTCATTCTCAATTTTAAAAAGTTATAATAGAGAGTTTCTTGGAGGTTATTTTTAAGCATTAGCTCTTTTTTTTTTTTTTTTTAAAAGAGCATTTTGTATTTAGAGAGCTACTTGGAGATGCTCTTAAGGAGTGGAATTGGGGTTTGGGTAGTTCATCCTTTTGATTTCTTCCAGGACACAATTGCATTTTGGAGCCTTGAAATAAAACATTTTCATCATTTTATCCATGCATCATATTTCAGATTGGTAATGAATGTTATTATTGTACACTTGCAGTTACCTGGAATTTTTACAAAACCTTGAAGAGAGAGTTGACAAAAACTGGCCTGAAATTTCTTCTTCGCTGGAGGAGATACGCAAATCTTTAATTTCAAAAAATGGTTGCCTAATAAATCTGACTGCTGATGGGAAAAATCTTGTGAAGTCAGAGAAGCTTGTTAGCAAATTTCTCGATATGCTTCCAAACAGTTCCCCAGTTGGATCAGCTGCTTGGAGTGCTCGACTTCCCCCAACAAATGAAGCTATTGTAGTACCTACTCAGGTTAGTAAGCATATTTTTTTTTTTTCTCAGTTTTCACTTTTGTGAACTCCTTTCTTGGTCAATTTCATTAATGGACTTTTGAGTAATTTGTACGTACAGGTAAATTATGTTGGAAAAGCAGCTAACCTTTTCCAGACCGGGTATCAACTCAAAGGGAGTGCATATGTGATCTCTAAATACATAAGTAATACGTGGTTGTGGGATCGCGTACGAGTTAGTGGTGGGGCTTATGGGGGATTTTGTGATTTTGACACTCATTCAGGTACAGTAATCAACATTATACTCAGTTTTGTAGTCTTTGTCAGAAACTAACTCCAAAAGTCCTGATTTCTGATATTTCTGTTCAGGCGTGTTCTCATACTTGTCTTATAGAGACCCCAATTTGTTGAAGACACTTGATGTGTATGATACGACAAGTGATTTTCTAAGGGAACTTGAAATGGACGATGATGCTCTCACCAAGGCGATTATTGGGACAATTGGAGATGTTGATGCATATCAACTACCCGATGCCAAAGGATACAGTAGGTAAGTGAATAGTTGCCCCTCATCTTGAAGGAAATTATGGCTCATTATAGGAGAGAGACTGAGAGGGTTATTTTTCTTCTTCATTGAGAATTCTACTGGTGTTGTATACAGTTTAGTTTGACATTATATTATGCATCTTTAGCTCTCTCTTCAGTTTTCTTTCTCAGTGCGTGACTAATGATTCCACCATTCTCTTCAGTTTGTTGAGATACCTGTTGGGAGTCACGGAGGAAGAAAGGCAAAGGAGACGAGAAGAGATACTGTCGACAAGGTACATTTAGTAATACTTTTTACGCTACAGTAACAGTAGAATCTCTAATGCAAAGTTTTACATGACAAAATGGCATTTCAATACAATTCTTAACTACTTATTTACCTACACAATGTGTCCAGTAGATAGCTTGTTTGGCTGAGCTTAAAAATAATTTTTATTTTTTTGGGTTGGGGGTGGGGAGGTTTGTTTTTGAAACATTTTTGGATAAGTATTTTTCTTGAAGTTACTTATTTTGCGATTTAATTTTATCAAATTTGTTAACACATGGTTTCTCACTGGTGCTCTGCTGTAATATGAACTATATTCTTTCCTTATTTCATAAGGATCTCTAACAATAAAAAAATTGATTATCATAATCAGCACCAAACAGGCCTTAAATAAGCATCGCATAGTTGTTCAAATAGTAAATTTGGGTGTACCGTCTATTGGGACAACAGGTTAGGGCAATATTTTCCCTATTTCCTTTATTTATTCTTTTTAATGTTACTCTTAGCCTCTATTTGGTTTAGATGAAAACCGGATTTTTAGTTGATTTTGATAAAAATTAGGAAAATGCCTCCTGCACAGGGTCTGTGCAACAGACCCTGTATAGGGCATCTCACATGGGGGGTGGATCCACATGTGGACCCCATGTGTGTGTAACACAATTGTAAAAATTAATACAATATGTTATTGAGAAGTTGTGGGTCTCATGAAATTTGTAATAAAAAGTAATTATTGATGTTAACTTAGATTTTTTAGCTGAACCAAAAGGGAACTTAATTTTTTGTTCTTCCCTATGTAGGTTGGCTGACTTCAAGGAATTTGCCGAAGTCATAGCAGCAGTTAAAGACATGGGGGTCGTTGTTGCTGTGGCATCTCCTGATGATGTTGACTCTGCAAACAAGTTACGCCCTGACTTCTTTCAACTGAACAAAGTGCTGTAAGGTATGCGCACGAAGGTATTACCATATTTAACGTGAACCCAAATAAACAAAGCTGGATACATTTCCATATACCGTATCTTCCCATTGATGACTCATCACTTGTATCTGTTGTAAACTCGAGACTAATAGTGTTTGTTTATATCAACCTTTGGATTCTTGTTGATCTAACCATAAACTCGCACGATTCTCCCTTCTTCTTTTTTCATTTTTTTTTTTTCGAATTTTTCCTTTTCAAGAAGTCGGTCGTATTATATTAGTCTTCCAATCTGGCCACATTTTAAAATAATTTTCCCCCCTCCGCTATTATTTTCTTATTATTTCAAAAACCCCCACAGGCCAGCGGCCCATTCTACCCCCGCATTATTGCTTTCTGCCCCGAATCTATTATTTTCTATTCCGGGCCGAAAGGAATCCAATGACTGTACCACGTCCCAAACTGTCTCCCAAGTCCCGACTAATTTATTTCATGCCCACCACTAAAGGCCCTCCAGTTGGATTTCTTCTTAGCTTTTTCAAGAAAGTCACTTTAGGGCAAACTTTCTCTAAAATATATTCTAGTCACATAAAGTATTTTCAAGGAATTATTCATAGAGGTCTAACAAAAGTTCCATCCAACGAATTCCAAGTTTTACGTAAAATTTTCTTTGCTATAGCAGAAAATTTAAGTCCTATATTAAAATGAGGATTTCGCTGGTTTGTCAAGAAGTTGAAACTATTAAAAATGACTACAAATAAATAAGTAAATGGGGAACGGTATATAATGAACTTGAAGGCAGTGTTACCCTCACAATAAACAAGATAATTAATGCAGGGTGCAACTTAACCCCTGTTTGGTTTGGATTTTTCAAGGAAAAAATAATTTTTTTGATCGTTACTTAACATAGTTAGACGCTATTTTTTATTTCTTCACTCACAGGTATAACCCACTTTTCTCTCTAACAATAAAAAAATTGATTATCATAATCAGCACCAAACAGGCCTTAAATAAGCATCGCATAGTTGTTCAAATAGTAAATCTGGGTGTACCGTCTATTGGGACAACAGGTTAGGGCAATATTTTCCCTATTTCCTTTATTTATTCTTTTTAATGTTACTCTAAAAAAATTTAAATAAGATTTATATTTAATGACATATAAAAAAAAGTCGTTACCGGTTGATGAGGAGACGATGTTTCCTATCTCGACCAGATTCTCGGCGAGGCAGGGCACTGGTATTTTGCCATCTTTACTGGTCGATAGATGATTAATTTGAGTTCAGATCTGTTGTTCCCAAATTTTGGTTCCATTTGTTGTCTCCTAATTTATACTTCCTTCTGTTATCCCTCAATTTTATGGTGGTTGCCAACTTTTGGGTGAAGTTAGTTTTTAATTGGCGTATTAGCACAAAACGTCTCTATGTGTTGGTCTTTAGTGTGCAAAACGTTCGTACATTTCAATTTTTTGCATTCTCACTCTCACTTCCACTTTTCATTGTAGAAAACATCATTTTCATCCATGGATGCAATTAATCCTTTATTTTTCTTTTGTTTTATTTTTGTTTTATTTAAAGAAGATGGTATATTTCTTGAAGATGAGATATGGACTCGGTTAATTTGTCTTACAATTGTAAACTCAAGGAACTAGATTGGATAGCAATCTATCGCCAATAAATTAATCACGAAGATCTACTCATTTTATAACTCAAATTTGTATTTTGATTGTTTCTAATATGGGTTCTTTTTCTTTTTTTTTTTATCGATAAATGTGAAATATATTGATAAAAAATATATATACAAATACATCGGGCATTTTTCTGTGCTTTCGAGTCCAAATCAAGTACATATACAACTACATCAGGCATTCCTGAGCAAAATAAAATGTGGATAAACAAGTACAACTAGTACAAAATTAAAGACTCATAGCTAAGGACTCAAAATGAATCAAAAAGGACTCAAAATGAATCAAACATTCGAATATAAATAAAACATGACTTTGTATACGTTTGTTTTGATTCGTTGAATAATACTATCAATATGCAGTTTAAAATCATCAAAAATCCTTCAATTTCTTGCCATCCAAATGTCGTAAACGGTCTTAGTAAGTGTAATTCGCTTAGCTTTGTTGTGCTAAGAAGTACCTCGACATTCCTTTTTAATCCATTTCACTGCGCTGAAAAGTATAGACATAGATCACCTAAGACCCGTCCATGTGCGGATAATTTTCCAAATAGATTGGCAAAATGAACAGTCAAAGAATAAATGACTTCTTGTGTCATCTATGCGTTCACAAAAACAGCACTTACGATCAATCTGGAGATATTCCAATTTGTCCTTTGTAAGTAGTTTAAATTTGATTGCCAACTACAAGATAAAAACATGCTTTGGTGTCACATGTGAGTTCCAAACAGAGCTGGTCCAGATTACCTTAGTTCCCTCTGGCTTGAAATACTCGTAAGCAATAGCAATTTTGAGTTTGTCATTGATCGTCCAGCTGGATAGTTTTTCACCAGCAGCCTGGACAGTGTGTTCAGCCTGTTTTCTTGTTCTTTAGTTTTGAGATGGTGTAAAGTCAATTCTTCTTTAATGAATCCTCCTCTTGATAGAAGTATTTTGTTTCCATAAATAGCACTGCAGGAGCTGTATGTGTAACTTTAGATTAAAGGGCATGCCAACCCACCCCAAATGAGTTGAGTTTAGAAAAAGCAAAGGAATTACTTAAAAGTAGTAACTTTTAAACTTAACCAAGCGTACATGATATCACACTCAAAACTTTTACACCTAGTTAAAATTGTGGAAATTTTCTGAGACATGTTTGATATGTCACATTAGACGGGATAAAATATGATAATGGACAAAAAGGAAAGGAAGTCGTAAACACATAGGCCAAGAAAAAGGAAAATAAGACAAACATATTAGTATTCAAGTACACTAATTGAAACAAGAGCCCTTTCATTTGGAAGTTGCCAATCCACTCCTCACATTTCTTTCTTTATCTTGGAATTTAGGCAATTGAAAAGGAAAACAACTTGTTAATGGATTCAAAGCCTCCCATATTAAGACATAATACAAAAAAAAAAAAAATACTAATTTGTTATTTTTGTCGACTTTTAAGACTTGATATTCCATCATTAAAGGTCAACTTAATTAAAATGAGTAGTTTAAACTCTTATATGTTGGTCTATGTTTCAATATTTGCAACTTATCATTTATGCCCCTAAGATGGTAGCTCATTAAACATATCAATTTAAAATTCGTTTGCTCATTTTTTATTTTGAATCAGGTCGAATTGTTTGTTAAAATTTAATAAGTTTTGATACTATATTGAGATTTGAAATTCTATCTTAAAAGTTTTACCTCATTAAAAAGAGTAGTTCACACCTTTACATATTTTGATAATGACGTCATCACTCGTTTATGAAAATCAAGCTTTTGTTTGAAACATAAACTTAAAAGCGTCTTCATCTTGAGCGAAGTACCATATAAATCATTAAAAACGAAAAAAGAAAAAGGAATTTGTAACCTTAAAGATGCGAAAAAAAACCTCCAAAACGTCCGTTAGACCAAAATTGTAAGAAAGTGAAGGTCACGGTGGACCGGCTACAGCCGGTGGACAAAACATGTCACTCTTTGATTCGTAAATGTTTGAGCGATCATTCTCATTCGGCATTCCCACGTGCCTATCACCGTTAACGGTGTCAGGACCACATGTTCTGTTAACTGCCTCATCTAATCTCTACCGTCCGATCAAATCAACTCTTTTCAATTTCCCATTTTACCCTCTCAACTGATCTTTACTACTTATGAGTGTAGAGTGAGAAAGACCATTGCCGTTTCAGCTTTACAGAACACATTTGATCTATACATACATACATATATATATATACACTATACATACACATGCATAACATGCTTGTTCCTTGAAGAATATATATACAGCTATATGAATGTTTAAGTAGAGAGGGGGAAGAGAGAGGGAGAAAAGGAGGAGTAACTTAGAAAATGTGAAAGAGTGACAGTACGGAGTAGAGCTATGGAGGAGGTTATGCAGCAGTCAATATCAAGTAAGAAAAGGAAGTTGTTATCTGAGCTTGAAAATCAGTACTTTGGGGACGTGAATTTTCTGGAGAATTCAGCGTCGCAAGAGGAGTCTAGGATCTCTCTCTGTAACAAGCATGACGACGTTGTAAAAGAACGAGTAAGATCATAGATCTGAATGTAAAATTTAAATTTCAAACACAGTTTCAGATGTGATTTCCGTATCAATGAAATACAAGTTTTTTAAAACTCAGTTTCAGGTATTAACTCGTTTTTGTTTGTTTATTTATGTTTCAGAATATTGATTTGCAATCCGAGGGTTGTGAAAATGAAATTTCCAAGTCCAATTTCAGGTAAATAAACTAAATTCCACTGGACATAATGTTTCATCTTGTACATATGTGTGTATAGATTTGAATTTTGAACTAACCTTTTTTTTTTTTTTTAAACAGTAGAGAGAAGACTCCAACAAGCGAGCTTTGTGGAGATTCCGATGAAGTGTTAACGTATTCATCATCAACGTTAACAGAAAAGTTATTGAAGACTGTCACCGTTCATCGGAGGAAACCGACGGCGGGAAAGATACCATCGGCGGCAGAACTGGAGGAGTTCTTTTCAGCTGCAGAAAAGTACGAGCAAAAACAATTCGCTGAAAAGTGAGTTTATACAATCATTACATTTTTTACACTGAGCTCGTGATAAGAAATCATTACACCAACACGCTCCATGATCAGTTATTCCCAAGCGCAACTAAAAAAGGAAAACGACTAACGATTTGTTGTGATTTCCAGGTACAACTATGATATAGCTTTGGATGTTCCCTTGGAGGGATGGTACAAGTGGGAAGTTTGCAATTTACAACCATGAATGAAGATCACGAGGCATCCTTTGATTTGATTCCCCAATTTGATTTTTCTACTGATTTTAGTTGTGTACAGCAATTTCTATGTTTATGCAAAGGAAGTAGAGATCCTAAATTTTCTTCTTAGTACAATATTTCTGAACTTCACACTCTATTTTCAAAGTGGATTCTATTTCCAGATTTTGCTGCTTCTAAAATTGAAAAGGGTGTTTTGTTTTGGCTGTTTGATTCTGCAAATTTTGAAGCCATTTTTTTGTATTGTTCCATTTGGAAGGATAGAATCTTCTTGTTCTTGCTTGCATGCAGAGTATGGGCATGAATACACACACACACACACGTGTGATTGTGTGTGTGTGTGTTTTTGATTTACATATATGTATCATGGGATCATGTGAATTGATTTGAAAATATTATTGAAATTTTGTCTTTTGCATTTGAATTTTGAGTAAACGATAAAGAAAAGAGTACCTTAACTGGCCAAAAAATTCATAATCCATGAGAAATTTGTTTATTTGTATGTATTTGTCTTTGAATAACTTTTTTGAAATTTGGTTAGCTATTATTCGATCATGTTTTTACTCTGCATTTGTCGTTGTTGATCTTAATATTGTCTAGTATAAGTGAAAAAATATATATAAATAGATAGAAATGAGAGATGGATAAATGAAAAGCACTTGTGGGTCCGATGAAACGCGTGATTAAAAATAAAATTTTACCAATTATAAATTTTGCCAAACGAAAAGTATATTATCAATTTCATTAAGGCTTGACACTCCATATTGTATTATTATTAAAGGTTGAATAGTCGGTCTATAAGTTAATTGTTTGTTTTCGAACTTAAAAGTTGGGCTTTACGTCTCTCTTTCCGAAGCTTGATTAGTTCCATGTTCGATCCTCATTCTTTATAATTTATTTTTTTTCAAATTTAATTTTAACCTCACATTTCATATAATACACAATCTTTTAATCACACATTTTATCAAAATTTATTAGAATTTTGATTTTTTTTATCTAAATCAAACAGGGTTTTACAGTCCACAAAATCTGTGTAATAAAAATTACGAAAGGAGATGATGATGATAGGTTTTATTTTTCATTTTTCATTTTTCATAGAGGCAGAGATTTGCACAGTGCAATTTCTGTTTCCATTTTTTTCGGAAACATTAGTGAGATGCAAATTCGTAGCCAGTGGTTCCAATGATTGTCTAAACGACAGCAGGTCATGATTCAGACACTACACATAGTCATGCAATTTACACGTGAATGATGTAAAGGGTAAAAACTAGTAATGTATGTACTACTTGTATATAAAAAAATAATTAAATTATTAGGTAAGTAGGAAGTAGCTATCTTTGATCTAATTATCCATTGGATCTTGCAAAATCATTTTAGTGATATTAGGTTATTTGATTCATTAGAAATTATTTTCAAGTAAACGAGAAATTAAGTCTAGAATGAGCATATTTACCATGAAATTTTATAAGGGTATTATAAATCGGACCACATTAGACAGAACTAAAACAATGATATCTTAAAATTTCATGTATCAATTAACTTGTTCGATAAGTAAATTATACTAAGTAGTATGAAAGAAGAAAAAGGAAACTGAAACATCATCTATAATAGTATTTAAATGTGCTATAATCGAGTCTCTCATTGGTTAAAAATTAGACGGAAATTTCTTAGCTCATGAGTTTTGTTGACATGATGTCGATGGTTGCTTGTGTGCACGGTGTATTACGGACGAGAAAAACGTGGATATTGATCTTTATCGTGAGACATGCAATGTCCCTTGAACACAATGTGCGTCACTACGTGACAATGTAATAAGTGTTTGCAATTGTAACGATTAGACAAAAGAAGAAGATTTTGACATAAAATTGTGAAAAATAAGATTATTATGGGAGATAAGAGTGGTGCATGCACGTGCCGTGATGGAGTGGGCGTCAACTAAGTTCCATGTGCTTTGGATCTGATGTATTATTTTTTTATTAATATCAAGAAAAAGAATGTTTTTAATTAATTGAGGGCTTAAGACTTTAACGCAGTTTCTATACGAACTTTTGCTCCCTTTACGAAACTGATTATGATCCATTGTAATATAATTTTTTGAGTCCGTCTATAGCTGGAATTTTTATTTTTTATTTTTTATTTTTTTAAATTTAGACGGTAAATGATGGCTAATTAAAATGTTCTGAGATGGTGCGGTTGACTTAATATTATTTTTCTTCTAGTGGGTAACATCATGAAATTGGTTCATTTTTGGACTTAAAACACTGAAAAATTCAAGGCCCAAAAAAGGAGTTGAAGAAGCCTATTATCTTAAGGGGGCGTCTACTCTCAAAGCCCACCAATTTTGAAGAGATATTTAGGCCTTGTTTGGGGAGATTTTTTTTTAAAGTCATTTTTCTCCAAAATTTTTAACTATACATATTATGGGACATTTAGCCCCTATTTGGTGGAAACTAAAATTCAAAATTTCATCTTAATTAAAGTCAACAGTTAATTTTAATCATATATTTTATGAAATCTACAACTTTTCAATCATACATTTTATCATCTTCTATCAAAATTTGCTAAAAAATCGATCTTATTCTCACCAAACAGGGGCTATTAATATTTCTACTTTTTAATTACACCATTTTTATCTATACTTTTATTTATATATTTTTTTTATTATTTACAATCTCCATTTCCATAGAAATGAACAACTCCATATATGTATATATATACATGGCCCTGAAATTTATGAGGCTCTAGGCAACAAATCGTTTCGAGACCCTTGAATATAATTTTTTTAATAAGTATAGAAGTCTCTTTAATATCAATTATGATAAATTCAAATTCAATTTTTCTATAGCTTTTAAAAAATGAAATGGGAACTTTATATATATATATATATATATATTAAAGAAATTTTATAAGGTTAGGAAAACATTATAGGAAAAATTTCTTTAATTTTTTTTAATGCATTGATTTTTTTATTTTTTTTTTGGGTAGATCTTGCCATCTTGGTAGATAGAAAAATAAACAAAACATATCACTAGGCAATAATTTAATTATAGATCCATTTTATTTCTTAAACAAGAATGTAAGTTAAATGATCCAAGTAATTTGGGCATCTTATTTAGACCAATATTATTGTTGTATTTTAAAGGGCTAGAGACCCAACCCAAAAAAACAAGGAAATATTTTGTTGGATCTTGAAGTTTTAATTTTTCTTTTGAAACCCCTTCAAGTTAGAGGCCCTAGGCAATGGCCTTGGTTGCCTTGGGCCAGGGCCGGTCTTAACTACATGAGAAAATAATTTTATATTTGTTGCTAAGCCCTTGTTGGGCGGTATTTGCATGGGGCATGCCCCATCAGAAATTAGGCTTGAAACTCTCACCTTACCAATGAGCCGACAGCTCGTTCAAGTCCTTTAATGTTGCACTAATCGTCGCTCACATAAAAAATTAATGTTAAAGCCTGTGTGATGCCTCTAAGTGTCAATGTAACCCCGAACCATATATTTATTACGCCAAGTTAGTAAAATCAAAGAATTAGGAATTGAGAATTAAACATGTGCAAATGATTAAATGTCATTGGGGACTTTTATTTTGGTCAGATTTTCGAGCTTAGATTAGATGGTAAAATCACATTCTTTTATTTTTTATTTTTAACTTTAACATCCAATTTTGCCAAAAATAACGTCTTTAAAGTTTAATAAATATGCATGTAAAGGTTTAAGAGATTTTAATATAAACTGATAAAATTTGTAATTTAAAAGTTGATAAAAGTTATGTGTCTCATAAAATATTAAATATGTGGTTAAAATTAATATTGATATTGACTTAAATTTTTATTAATTTTTAAGCCACAACCAATCGAAGCTTTTAAGTACTTCTGCAATGTAAATGAACATAACCAATTTACGGTAGGGTAAACATAGGTTTATAGGCATAAATTTCTCATTTTTCCTCCTCTCTTATGCTAAACATAAAATTGTACTTGTTTTTTTTTTTTTTAAATTTATCTTTTTCTCATTAATTTAACTTAAACAGAAATATATGATTTTAGTTTTAAAAAATATTTTTCANAATTTCATCTTAATTAAAGTCAACAGTTAATTTTAATCATATATTTTATGAAATCTACAACTTTTCAATCATACATTTTATCAGCTTCTATCAAAATTTGCTAAAAAATCGATCTTATTCTCACCAAACAGGGGCTATTAATATTTCTACTTTTTAATTACACCATTTTTATCTATACTTTTATTTATATATATTTTTTATTATTTACAATCTCCATTTCCATAGAAATGAACAACTCCATATATGTATATATACACATGGCCCTGAAATTTATGAGGCTCTAGGCAACAAATCGTTACGAGACCCTTAAATATAATTTTTTTAATAAGTATAGAAGTCTCTTTAATAGCAATTATGATAAATTCAAATTCAATTTTTCTATAGCTTTTAAAAAATGAAATGGGAACTTTATATATATATTTTATAAGGTTAGGAAAAATTTCTTTAATTTTTTTTAATGCATTGATTTTTTTATTTTTTTTTTTGGGTAGATCTTGCCATCTTGGTAGATAGAAAAATAAACAAAATATATCACTAGGCAATAATTTAATTATAGATCCATTTTATTTCTTAAACAAGAATGTAAGTTAAATGATCCAAGTAATTTGGGCATCTTATTTAGACCAATATTATTGTTGTATTTTAAAGGGCTAGAGACCCAACCCAAAAAAACAAGGAAATATTTTGTTGGATCTTGAAGTTTTAATTTTTCTTTTGAAACCCCTTCAAGTTAGAGGCCCTAGGCAATGGCCTTGGTTGCCTTGGGCCAGGGCCGATCTTAACTACATGAGAAAATAATTTTATATTTGTTGCTAAGCCCTTGTTGGGCGGTGCTTGCATGGGGCATGCCCCATCAGAAATCAGGTTTGAAGCTCTCACCTTATCAATGAGCCGACAGCTCCGTCAAGTTCTTTAATGTTGCACTAATCGTCGCTCACATAAAAAATTAATGTTAAAGCCTGTGTGATGCCTCTAAGTGTCAATGTAACCCCAAACCATATATTTATTACGCCAAGTTAGTAAAATCAAAGAATTAGGAATTGAGAATTAAACATGTGCAAATGATTAAATGTCATTGGGGACTTTTATTTTGGCCAGATTTTCGAGCTTAGATTAGATGGTAAAATCACATTCTTTTATTTTTTATTTTTAACTTTAACATCCAATTTTGCCAAAAAAAATAACTTCTTTAAAGTTTAATAAATAGAGATTTTAATATAAATTGATAAAATTTGTAATTTAAAAGTTGATAAAAGTTATGTGTCTCATAAAATATTAAATATGTGGTTAAAATTAATATTGATTTTGACTTAAATTTTTATTAATTTTTAAGCCACAACCAATCGAAGCTTTTAAGTACTTCTGCAATGTAAATGAACATAACCAATTTACGGTAGGGTAAACACAGGTTTATAGGCATAAATTTCTCATTTTTCCTCCTCTCTTATGCTAAACATAAAATTGTACTTGTTTTTGTTTTTTGTTTTTTTTTTTTAAATTTATCTTTTTCTCATTAATTTAACTTAAACAGAAATATATGATTTTAGTTTTAAAAAATATTTTTCAATCTTTTTTGTACAAAGTGATTATATTTTTGTGAAAATTAGTTTTTCATTTGAAAATAAAGGTGTGTTTGTCACCCATTATTTGAGAAGAATGTATTATGAAATAGTGATTGATATTGAAATGTGTGGTTACAAAAGAAAGAAAAGTTTTTAATTTACGTGTAATATTATTTTAATAAAGAATATGTAGTTGAAAATGAATATTGTAGAAAAAAGAATGAGAGAAAATGGATGACAAACACGAGCTAAATGAACCAATCAACTTGATACCGTGGCATACGGACAAGACGTCAAATTGAATTGATAGTCAGACTGGAATATTTTTTAAATTAAAGTTTAGTAAACAAGAAGTTCAGTGGCCATTATTGAAATTAAGCAAAAAATGTAAAATGTTGAATTCAAATTTTGGCTCCATTTTCCCTTAACTTCTTCCAAGAAACCTTAGTGGTCTTAAACAGACAACCTTGTCAAATCCCACTTTCTAAAATCCCTACAATTTTTAAACCAAACGGTGGATTCATCCCCTTTTGCTTTACTTTTCCCCTGCCACTGTTCATAAATCCCATTCCTTTCTGTTTTGTGACGAAAGATTGACAGACGATAAACAGTAAATATGGTTGTTTCTCAAATTCAGGCCTCGAGACAAAGCCCCAGTTCTTCTTCCGCAGCAAAGGTATTTTTTTTTTCTCTAGCTTGTCTTTAATGGAGTTTAAGTGAAAATGATTCAAGTGCATTCAAAAATTTATTTTTAATAAGGTTTAATTTGTTCTTCTTGTTATTATATTGAAAAGAGCTAAAGTGAGTTTCTATTTTGCCAACAGCTCAATCAGAGAAAGATCCTGGAAATCAAGAAGAAACCAACAGATTTTAAACACGAGAAGAAGAACGTGAGAATTTTTATTATTAAACTATTTGTTTAGCTATACGAATATTGATTACTGGGAATTGGTCGAACTTCGAATAATAATCAAGTGTTGATTTTATCTCATTGCGTTCTAATGGTATGTCCAATGTAGATTTTTTTAGAATAAATTTTTCGAAAAGTAATAGTTTTGGAGAATGTGTAATTAATAAGTCTGGAAAAGTTATGATTCAAGTGTAAAACTATTTTACGGGGAGAATGAGTGGTTAGAAACGAGCTCGAGGAAAAATGAATTTTGAAAAAAATGTACGAAACTAGGACTAATTGTTCGTTGTAATGTCATGTACATGAAGTTCTTTTTCTGTATTAATAGTTAAGAAAACCGTAATGATTTATACGCTGTAGACGAGCCCACTTTTTACAATTTATTTCTGGTCAGATGCTTAAACATTGTAGAATGCAGCATTGTGTATATAGCTAGCATGTATTAGGTCAGGTGGTGTAATTTTTAAGGTATTGTTGCTTGTGTTTTCTTTTCTTTGACAGGTCTAATTTGTTCTTGGAAGCTAGATGATTTTGGTCATGCATATTGTCGTCTGAGCTTCTTCTTGCACCCTACTTAGATAGTTAGATTAATTCCGTTATTTGATTATGATAAACAACTAAACTTTACTCCGATAAATTCATAGTCGAGAACTAAATACTTAATTTGAGCAGGTGAAAATGGGAAATACAAACTGGGATATGATACGGTAAGTGGATAGTTTGTGAACGACCTGTAAAGGCAGTTTCTTTAGATTCCCAGGAGACATTGTTATGTATTTTTTACTCTTTGTAATTTCGTATGGTTCTTTAATAATTTTGTAGTTACGAGGCAAAGGTGAACACAACCACTGATAGGCATAGTTGTAAAGTCGAGGCCTCTGCCCACGAGCGAGCACAAGAAGTTCGGGCAAATCTGCCAGCAAACTTCCCGAGTTTTGTTAAGCATATGCTCAAATCACATGTTACTGGTGGATTTTGGTTGGTAAGTTCAAATTCGGCTTGGCGCTGCAAAAGCTTTATAGTACTCGTTTTTATATAAAATTGTTCACAATTCTTCTTAATATCAGGGCTTGCCGAAGCCATTTTGTGATGCACATTTGCCAAAGCATGATGAAACAGTCATTTTGGTGGATGAAAATGGAGATGAATATAGTACAAAGTACTTGTTCGTAAAAAATGGACTAAGTGCCGGGTGGAGAGGCTTTTCCCTTGCTCACAAATTGCTAGAGGGAGATGTCTTGGTTTTCCAATTGATCTATCTTTGCAAGTTTAAGGTATCTCTTATGAATATATGACTTTTGTTTGGGGGGGTTTTCTCCTTGACACACTGCATTTTGATTTTCTTAAGGTATACATTGTGAGAGCAAGTAGATTAACAGAGATCGATGGGGCTATTTGTCTTCTAAACTTAGATTTGCATGTAAACCCGACTGATACAAGTATGTTCGTCTACTTCTCGATATTTCTTTTCTAGAATACTTTCCAAGAAAATATACTTGAACTGTTTCACTAAAAATGATATTAGTGAAAGTCGAAGAAAGAGAGATGATTAGTGAAACAGCAGGGTTGATTGATTTGGTGGCTTCTGCCATGGAAATTCATGAAGAGAAAAGAACGACGTTATTAATATCTGACAATGAGCCTGTAGCAGATCGATCTGGGAATGAAAGTGATGAATTTGAATTTGGTTCCGTAGTTATGGATGGCATCAGATTATCAGAATCTTCTGTCGACTTTAAAGACGTGAAAGGTTTCGAAGATTTCAATATTCATGTGAATGGCTTAATATTAGACTCGGAGATTCCACAGCATCTTCGGACAAAATATCATGAGCTATGCTGCAGCCAAAAAATGTTCCTTCACGATCATCTTATCGAAGGCCTTAACAGTAAATTAGTTGCCGGAATGATTTCCGAAACCATTAACATTGCCGATGCTATAAGAGCTGCCAAGATCACCCAATCTCTTCGTCATTTGGAAAGTTGGGACAAAACTCTAAAAGCTTTCGAAGATTTAGGTATGGAGGTTGGATTTCTACGTGCACGACTACTTAAGCTAGTAAGCCTTTCCCGTCAATCCATAGCGATTATTGAATCGAAGAAACACGAAAGGGCTAAAGCTGAAGAGGATATTAGAGATCTTGAAGTAAAACTTTTGCAGGCGAAACGATTGATGAGACATATAGATAATGAGATCGAGGCCCTGAAAAAGGATGACGAGAAGCTTGCCATAACGTTCGAGGAGTTTGCGGCTACTCCATGGTGAAAGTGTTCAATTTAATTGTCCATGGCGTCTTTTTTGGTCCAACTGTAGCGTGTCACACACTTTTGATAATTGGGATAAGAAGTTTACCATATGAAAATATTTGCAAAATGTTATGGTATAATCCATCCCAAACTTTCAATTATGTAGCAAAATATGTTATTTCCTCTTTAGTCATTAAATGATGGATTTGCACTTCTTTTTAACTAAACAAAGAAAAAAAAATAAAGGTGTAGATGAACAAAAAACTAAGGAAAATTGCAATGGAGTATATAATTTTTCAGAAGTACAAATAAATTATACTTTAAAAAATTAAATGCATGTTAACAATTTTTTTTGCATATAAAATCTTGATCTTTCCCAACCAAGCCCGCT